CGAATTTGCAAAAAAATATAACTTAATAGCGGAACAGCAATATGGTTTTCAAGAAGGCAAATCTGCTCAAGATGCTATTGTAAAATTAACAAGTAAAATATACACGAATCTCGATATTCGCAAACCAACTGCATGTGTTTTTGTTGACTTGGCAAAGGCATTCGACTCTATTACTCATGAATCGCTTTTAACAACTTTAGAAAACTTAGGTTTCCGGGGAATAACATACAAACTTATAGAAAATTATTTGTCAAATCGAACACAGTGCGTCAAAATTAATAACACATTCAGTGAACCCCATATTATATCATACGGTGTACCTCAAGGCTCAGTATTAGGACCCATTTTATTTAATTTATTTATCAACGATTTGTTCAAAATAAGTAGTACAGGTAAAGTTATCGGTTTTGCGGATGATACAGCTATTCTCTATGAAGGCAACCAGTGGCATACACTGAAAACCACAATCGAACATGATTTCAAAACATTTCTAAATTTCTTTTCGGAAAGAATTTTGACAATTAATTACAACAAAACACACTATATAGCATTTTCTTGTAACGACAGGCTCTCGCCACAATTTAAAAAACTTGAAGTTCATACCAGCAGTGGTCTCAAAGAGATTCAGTTAGCCGATAAAATAAAATACTTGATGATGATTCTGGACAAACACTTAAAATGGGATACCCATACAGAGTACCTTGTGAAGAGACCGAGATGTATTATTCCAAAATTCAGGTACTTCAGAGATATTCTAGATAAGAAATATCTATATAATCTATATTATGCTCTTGTTTATCCTCTATTACTTTACGGAATTTTGGCTTGGGGGGAGTTATGAATAATAATTACAAGTAGGTTGATATAATCCAAAAATTAATTCTAAAATTGATCCTCCATAGGGAGATTACTTGTTCAAGTGATTTTCTATATGTGGAGGCTCAGCTATTAGATTGCAGACAAATTTATTTTTATTGTGGTCTAATACATTATTTCAAATATTCGAAATACTTGAATCGTACCATTCATAACTACCCAACAAGATTCAAACAAAATTCAATGTGTATTCCACAAACATCAAAAACCATTACACAACGATCTCTGTTTTTCTTGGGACCAAAATTCTATAACTCCATACCAGAGTCATTAAAAGTAATTAAATCAAATAAATAATTTAAAAAAGAACTAAAAAAATGGGTTTTACAACAACCAAGGTTCTCCATCCACGAAATTGTAGATCTGAAAAATCATTATCAAAATCAATAATATTTTACTTACCCTAACATCCATACTTTTACTTTAGTTATAATTGTCTGGATTTTTTTCCTGACATTACCATAATAGTTCACCAAATTATACAGTATTTAACGATTTTTTTTTCATACACTGACTATTAGTTTTTATTTTGAACAAACCCAAACACAAGTGCAAACTTTTTTTGGGTGCTTTATGTTTATTGTGCACAATATTTGATAGTTACCTGTATTTTGTGACAATAAACATTATTATTAATGCTAATACTGCAGCTAGGATTTATCGTGAGAGGTACCCAAATGCTGCTCGTTGTCCCGATCACCTAGTTTTTATGAATGTGCACCGTTTACTCTTAGAGGGACGATCGAGCACATGGCGAAAAAATAATTTCCTTTCCTCACGAGAACTTCGTACAACAAGCAATCAAAGAAGACCCGAGTACTTCGGTACGTCAAACAGAAGCAAGCACGGAAGTCCGCAAAAGTACAGCCCACCGAATCCTGCGAAAGAACGTGCTCCATCCGTGCCACATTCAACGAGTACATGCTCTACAAGATCAGGATTGTCTTCCAAAAGTTGAGTTAATGAAAACAATTGTTAGAGAGATCGGGAAGCTGCGCGATTTTTAGAGAAAATTTTATGGACATGAGTCGACATTTAAAAAAGATGGCTACATGAATCTACACAACTTACACAAGTGACATGTGGAAAATCCACATTTGACAAGACATGTGAGGACTCTAAATCGGAAAATCATTACACCCTTGGAGCTTGGAGACTTTTTACAAAATCATTTATCTAAGCATGTGGTACCAGCAAGACTGCTGCCCGGCGGCATTTTAACACTATGGTATAGGGTTCGGCACCAGCATTAATTTTATTGGTCAATTTGAATTTATTCAACCAATGACAAGCCGGGTGCCGAAATAATTACCGGAATGTTAAACAGTGCTGAAAACAGTGTCAGAATGTTATCAATTTAAATTGCTTCTACTAATATATCGAGTGCTGAAATCACTACTCGAATGTTGAGGATTACCGAAATACAGTTCGGAATTTCGAAGGTCGCCGATGCGTAAGGAACTTTATCGTTCACGCAGTTTACGTTAGATATTATAACCTCAAAGTTCAAGCGTCATCGTTTTTAATACGTTTCGAGTTGAGCAGAACAATGAAAGGTTGCGTTAAAATGAAAAACAATATATACAGGGGAAAGTTTACAGACGAAGAAGGCAGTGGCTGAGAGATTATGAGGTAGAAACTCTTACAACTTGGCGATTCAAATGTGGTCTCGCAAATCCGCGTCGCCTTGTATATAGGTAAGTGTATTGTTATTGTAAAGGATTATTTATTTAATTCTAATCACGACCGTAGCTTTTTAATTTTTGGAGCTAGACTTTTTTGAATGTTTTCGAGCTAGATTGTTCTTGTTTGGGTTAGAACTGATTTTCAGAATACCTACTTCGAAAATTCAAGGCGCACGAAGGGCATAATCTTGTTTAAACGAATGCAAAATATATTTTTAACCGACTTCCCAAAAGATGGAGGTTTTCAATTCGTCAGCTATATTTTTTTCTATGTCTGTTTACCGATTTTTTCAAGATGGCTTATCAGATTATGATAATTATTTTTTTAAATGAAAGAGTATAGAGGGGTAGTCCCATATTAATTTGATGAAAAAATATTGACTTCAAAAGAGGAAATCAGTTGATGAAATTATTTTTAAGGCAAATCTGGAGTATTTGTGTGTTAATTTAGTTTTTTGGCCGGGGAGGTTGCCTTCATGAGTGACCCGAAATAAGTAGGGATTACAAGGGGTTGCAAAAGGTTACCGATTGGTCGGCCACCAAAGGAAGAAGGCGCACCAAGAAAAAGAAAAAGAAGCACTCAATGTAAAGCAAAATTTACCGAATGCTAAGTCTCATGGAACAGGTCACTAAAACCTATTACATTATTTTTTTGTTAATTTTCGAATTTATTTTTTTATTTTTGAATAGTCTTGTTTTTTGAATTTTCTTGTTTATTTTTGAACGGACCAATAAACATTCACATTTAATATGTTTATTTTCTACTACCTTTTCACGAAAAGTGATAATTTCTTCCCTGAAATGATAAATGCTGTACTTGAATGAGAAAATACACTCTGTGTATAGATATTAGAATTTAGCTTCTTACATTACATGGGAGGAAAATACCACTTTTCCACCCGCGGATGATTTATACAAAAATCCAAAAAAAGTATATGATTTTTTAGATTTTTACATTTCTTTGCATTCTTTTTAAATTCAGTTATTTTCTATAATATATAATTTTAAATTTTTCATGAGACTGTTCTTATTGCTAAACCAAATTATTAATTTTAAAATCATTAAATATCGTAATAGGAAACAACGTGCGTTGATTACTATCTTACGTATTTTTAGCGGAAGGTAAGTAAATTTAAATTTAAATTGATATCATTCTGACCCCATGCTCAGCACTGTTTAACATTCCGATAGTGATTTCGGCACCCGGCTTGTTATTGGTTGAGTAAATTGAAATTGACCAATAAAATTAAGGCTGGTGCCGAATCCTTTACCACAGTGTTAAAATGCTGCCCGGCGTATTATGTCCGTTCAGTTAGAGAATATCTGAAAGCTGCTACACACAGTGCCGGCGGCAATGCCGCCGGGTTTATGCCGAGCGGCTATGCCACCGGCAATACAAGCCGCCGGCACAAGCCGTCAAGCATCATTCCGGCACTGTGTGTAGCAGCCTTTAAGGCCACGGTTATAGTGGTTGCGTGTTATGACGAACTATCGTTGTGACGAACCCGTCATAATTGTTGGTCAGATGTTGGTGGTTATAGTGCATGTATAAGTTCTAGTTTGTACAGATATTTAAAGATGGATGACAATGAGAATTTATCATACGAGTGGCAATTTTTAGAAAGCCCTTTATTAAAAATCCTCCTTATGACGGACAAAACGGAACATGTGAATAAAATATTTAGTTCAAGATCCCTTAATGGAGAATACCAGACGTTATTTCAAGACTTGTTGGAGCAACCAAATAATTTTTTTGAGTACTTCAGAATGCTACCAGAAACATTTCATTATATTCTAAAAGGAATCGAGGAAGGTATCACCAAGCAATCAAATTTTTGCGAATGCATATCTGCTAAAGAGAGACTGGCGTTAACATTAAGGTAAGAGTGCACATTATTTTAATATTCCTAATTCATTATTATTATATATTTGAACTTAATAACTATTTTAAACCAAAGCTAATAGAAAAACAAAGTCGGAAAGGATTTATTTTTGGGGGTTGATTTGTGAAAAATATGAAGCTATGTCTCCATACTGCTGGTGAATAGCACTTTCTTCACTACTTGGCCCAGAAGGAATCGTTGATTCTGAGGAGCTGTGATAATTTTCCATGGAACCAGTTTGTCCACTAGTTGACGCAGAAAGAGTTGTGAACTGTGGAGACCCATCGTAATTTACTATAGGATGATGCGGAAACTCTGCTGATGAGTGCCGGTTAAAAGTAGATTGGTGCTGTGAATCTGAATTTAAGTCATTGCCGTATGGTCGTTGCTGTGCCAATTTCTGTTCATCACAGAACACCTGTTGTAACTTACTTCTCACATCCAGTTTTCTTTCTTCAGGGACTTTTCTCAGATAGGGGAGTAAGCTCATCAGAAAATGATAGTCAGCATCCTCTTGAATTTTTGCTTGATTACACACTTCACTTTTTCACTTAAACTATTTTAACTTATCCTGCTCGATCATCACAAGTTGTTGAATTGCATTAGATTTGGTATTAGGTTTTACACTTTTTATACGTTTGCTTTGAGGGGAGACAAACTGGGGAGACTCAATGTTTTTTTTAAATTCTACATTCCGTGCTGCATTTTGATCGACGGCGGCATTTTCAGTAGTTTCGACAACAAAATCATCTTCCGGTAAATCATCAGGTTCTTCATCATCGTTTCCAGATTGAGCGTTTACTTCCGGCTCCAAAATACTGCTCTGTAATTTTCTACCTGTGAATTGATCTTTTAAAAACAGCATATTTTGGAAATACGGCCATTTTGATTCTTTAGCTAGTCTTGTTTAGCTGTTAACGAAAGGTGTCTCGCAAACCACGCCACTTATTTTTCACGGCTTCGACTGAAAAAAAAAACTTATATAAAACTTATATAAATAAATGCTGGAATATCCTGTACCCCGGATATGAAGTCTACGTTCTTGTAAATTATTCGAAATCGTGACTTTTTTTTCGAATATCTTCATAAGGGTTTCGAATTTTTAAAATATGAAAACATCGTATTAGCGGGTTCAGTAGGATGCAACTTTTTCCTAATTTTAATATACGCTTTTCTCAAATTAATAATAATAATAATAATAATAATAATAATAATAATAATAATAATAAATGGGCTTTATTTCGTACTTAAGTAAAAGTACAAAAAAGGCGAAGTGTCGCTAAGATTAGCGTTTTTCAACTTAACCTTAATTTTAACAAAAAAAAAAAAATATATATAATAAAACATTCTACCAACAAAAATGTATCCATAATTCTCAATAATTACTAAATAATTAACAATACAGAACAATTACAAGAATAGTCCATATTTCTAGCATTTTGTACTCATCATCAGACCTCGACTTGTAGTTTTAGTTTAAGCCTCTTTTTAAAATTAAATAACGTATAGTTTTGGAATGTAACAGGCAGATCATTATATAATTTAATAGCATTGTAGCTGAATGATGTTTTGTAGACAGCCTTAGAATGTAAGGGTATCACTAACATATTCCTATTCCTGGTATTCAGTTGATTTATGTCACTATATCGTGATAACTTATTATGCAAATATTGTGGTTGTTTGGTAGCTAAGACCTTATGTGTGAGTGTCAATAAGTGAAGCTTTTGCATGCCTTTAATCTGCAGAATACCAAGTTCTTTAAATTTATGAGAAATATGATCAAACTTTCGTATTCCGCAAGAAAATCTGATGCACGAATTCTGAATACGCTGTAATTTGTTTTGTTCACTATATGATAGAGCTGCGCCATATATACTGTCACAATAACTGATCTTTGATATAATTAATGCTTCACACAGTTTCAGCTTTACTGAAGTAGATATTATTTGCCTATGTGGATAAAACTGTTACAAAATGCAGTATGATGCACTACATAACGAATTTACGTGTTTTTTGTATTTTAGTTCTGTGTCAATCCAGAGTCCCAGGTTTTTACACTCATTCATTATAGGAAGCCGACAATCATAGATTTTAAGGTTAATTTCCGTTTCGATCAATGTTCTTTTGTTTTTTGAGCCGAAAACCATAACTGAAGATTTAGATGGATTAATTTTTAGGTTATGCGAGCACGAGATGTCTACTAGCCTTGTTAAGTCTTCGTTGAGCAATGCTTCTGCAATTTTAAAATCTTTGTGTTGGAAACTAAAATAAATTTGAGTATCATCAGCATAGTGATGGATTGTGCAATTATGGACATATTGATTGAAATCCGATATATATAGAGAGAAAAGTAAAGGTCCCAGTATGGAACCTTGAGGAACACCAAAACTTATAGCAGTTGACTGTGACATTTTCGAAGCCGTTAGGACCTTTTGATTTCTATTTGACAAATAGCAGCTTATCAAATTGACTGCAGCATCAGTAAAACCATAGTAAGACAGCTTAAGTAGCAGAATTTCAGGGTCTATCATATCGAAAGCTTTTGTGTAATCCAGCAGAACTAAACAAGTGATATTTCCTTGGTCAAGGCCTCTTATAACATCATCAGTGACATTGGCTAGAGCAGTTGTTGTACTATGGTTTTCCCTGAATCCAGACTGCATGGATGGAACTATTTCATTACTGAAAATATAAAAGCTTCGAAAATGCGGGAAGTAAGCTGACTGGTCTAAGTTGCGTTACAGATGTGGGAATCGCTACTTTAGGAATAGGTATGATGATAGCCTGCTTCCAAGCATCAGGGAAACAGGATGTTGATATTGCGTGATTGATTATAAATGTAATATGGTCTAAGAGCAAGGTGAAAATGTATTTTATCATAATGAGTGAGATTCCATCAGCCCCTACAGCATTAGTTTTAATAAATGAGAAACTCTTCGCAACAGATTCTTTGGCAACCTTTTGGAAACAGAATGACTTGGGAAACTTATTGTTTTGATATTTGTTCAGTAGTTCTAATTGCTTTTGTGTCTTGGTTATGATCGGAATATTTGAGAAATGTGAATTTATTTCATCTGCGTCATTGAAGCTATTAATTAAGATCTCTGTAGAATCCATTCTTATCCAGGAAACTGTGTATTTTTTTAATATCATTATTATTTCTTTTGTTGCAGGTATCTTTCAACTGGGATGTCCTTTAGATCATTAAGCTTTTCATACAGAATTTCACATACTGCAATACGGCAGATAGTTTATGAGACTTGTCTTGCAATATGGAATAGTTTTCGAAATAAACATATGCCGGCTCCTACAAGCGATTTGTTACAAAGCATCGAAAAAGGCTACTTCAAAGCGTGGAATTTCCCTAATTGTGTCGGCTGCATAGATGGTAAACACATTCGAATAAAATGTCCTAAAAACTCGGGATCGATATATTATGATTATTGACTATATATGACTATTGATATTGGTGCTTACGGAAAGCAAAGCGATGGAGGAATATTTTCTCTCTCCAATGTCTACAAGTGTTTAAAGACGAACACATTCAAAATGCCAAGCCCTGAATATTTGCCCTCAACAGAAATCAAAGCTCCTTTTGTAATATTGGGTGACGAAGCATACCCACTGAAGCCATATTTGCTTAAGCCATATTCTAGACAAAATCTCTCAAATGAAGAGCGAGTTTTTAACTACCGTCTTTCTAGAGCTCGACGTTGCATTGAATGCGCATTCGGTATACTAGTCGCTAAGTGGAGATTTTTAAAACCCGAATTGCAAATGAATCCCGAGAACGTTGACATTTTAGTCCAAGCAGCATGCCTTTTGCACAATATACTCATTGACAATGAAGGGGTTCCAGCACACCCTGAAGAGAGTATACACAACGATAAAATATCTGTTTCAAGGCGCTACAACCATTATGGAGGAACAGCCAGTCAAGCAAGAGACATTTTCAAGAATTACTTTTTCAGCCCCGAAGGCGAAGTACAATTCCAATATAATATTTTTACTAAAGAAGCTTTCTAACGTATTTAAAAATGTAATGTAAACAAATAGAATATTGATATAAATTTACGTACTATTACTTTCCATTTCTCCAGCAATTTTTTCCCATTTTTGGCGAGAAATATCCCTGTTATGGTAGTTTTTTTGCTGCATATCCCATAAACTTCTATTTTCAAAAACTAAACTTATAAGTTTTTCGACATCCATATTTGTAAAAATAAAATATTAAACAAATCGCAACAATTCGCATCAAAAAATCAACACGAACGAGCTTGTTCTGACATATTCATGTGTAATCTGACGATCGATCCGCATACAGTATAGCCACAATCATTGCCTTTGTATTTGTTGATTTGTTCGTGCGAGTTCTGACTTGTTCGTCAGAACGATAGTTCGTCAGAATACGCATCCACTATAACCGTAGCCTAATGCGGAATACCCGAACAGATGGATTTTCGATTTTTTTTACTGAGGAGCGGCGAAAGAAAGAGTTTACCCAAAGTCAATCGAAAATTTAGCTGGGCTACGGAACAGAATAACAGAAGCACCTAGCGGAAGATTCGCCCATCTAATAACCCGATCATTTTAGGAAGGTATCAAGCTTGCATTACTGCTGGAGGAACGCAATTTGAACATTTATTGTGAATTTAATAATTACATTTACGAATTAATAAAAGTGGCGTTACTATCTGTCTTGCTGTTACTTCGTGGAATGACCGTGTCCGTCACTCCGTACCAGCAAAAATTGGAGTTTGTAGTAATTGAAACTAAAAGATCATCACACGATGTAGATTTTTCCGATGTTATAAAGCCTATAATTTGAAAAGAACACGACTTCGATTTTTTTTATATCCTCCTGATAACTATTATGACTTGGCCTATACCCATGTCCAGCTAAAGCTCAACTTCTGAGACACCATTTATAATATATATAAATATACACCCATCGAAGGTGGAGACTGAATAACAAAGCAGAATAACGCAAAAAACGAATCCTTAAGTCATCCGTTGTTACCTTTGAGAGCGGTAGCAACTAACGACGGTTGGAGAAAGAAGAGCTTTTATGACCAATGGAATGGGCGATGCTTATTTGACAAAGCTTTGTAATTCTTCTATGATTACTCCAACCCGATCAAAAAACTAATAGGATTAGAATCATAGAACCACAGATTTACAAATAACCACAAAACCGAAAGAACTAGAATAAAGAGCTACCTTGCTACATTGCATGTATAACACAAGTCAAGACAATTTAATCCATTTGGCATACTGCATATTTTTGCCTGTGATCTAAAACGCGTATCTCTTCTTGAATTTTAACCAATATGTTTTTATGCTTGATTGACTTAGTAAAACTTTTCCTGCTTTACAAATTCGGCAAAAGCGCCGATTTAGGAAAAATCATCTTACGAAATAAGCTCTTATTTTCGGAGCTCCTCATGTTTTTAACGGAGAACGGAGGATCGTCTTTCTACTGCACAAACTCAAAATTACGGAAACTCGTAAAGAAATAATGCCAATTAGAGATACGATCCCTTGATCAAAGGTCTAGTTATTGCAGCAAAAGTGTAAGTATTCTGTCCTTTCATTGGAAAACCAATTGTACCAAAAAAACAAATAAAAGGCTGCTAACATCTTACTAAGAAACATTTTATAGAACAGGGACCCAGAAACTATTGTGTTAGGGGCGGCACTTACTCCCGAATATTGAGCGATACGTTTTATAGAATTGGTAGAACCCAGGACTGATTTGTAAGACTCTGAAGGCATTTGTTAGTAAATTGGAGAAATAATTTGTAGAATTTGCTTATAATATTACCATAAAGGATTTGCTTAATCGTCGTGGGACAGTTTAAATGCAAATATTAAAGTATTGCAAGGTACGACGAGACTTTCGGGAAAACCTTTTGTTTATTTTCATTTGCAACGTTTTACAAAACAAGCTTGTGCTAGTTTCATTATGCACGCACATTTATAGTAATGACATTTAACAATGGACGCATTTAAATATTATGATGAAATACTAATTTTATAAATGATAAAATGATGCTTCCTTACAACGCAAGTGAAAGCAAACGGTAAGGCATTATCATTAAACTATTAGGAAATTACTTGGTATTTTTGTAGAGTATTGTACGATAATGAAGGTCCTTCATCTCAGGTTTTCAAATAAAGTGTCTCGGAAAGCTCGTTTTTAAAAATGCATTTTTGTCTTTTATTTATAATACAAATATGAGTCCTATTGAGTAGAGAGCCGTAATAAGGGCGTCTCTGGCGAAGGGTTTTTAATGATATATGCGGACCCTGCGCTGGAGTCGATATCTTGAGTGTGGAAAACGTATTGCGAAAACCATAAAGATATGAGCCACTATTAAAAAAGTGGATAATATGGTGGTAAAAGATAGATGTATAGCATTACAGGGAGCTACTTCGCAAACCTAATGTCAAAATTCCAAGATATTTTTAAGGAGACACGTTGGGGGAATTTGAACTGCCCTACACCAAGCACCAATTGGAAGAGTACCCAGCGTATTCGCCAGGTCTGGTTCCTGTGATTTCAGACGATTTCCAAAATTGAAAAAAAATTTACGGAAACAATTTCAAGTGACCAGCAGGTGTTATCTGACGTAGATGAATTTTCTTCTGCCGAACAACATTGTTACGGGGAGGCTATTGAAATGCTGGGGAAAAATTTGAACCAATGTGTTATTAGTAGGGATCATACATTTGATTTTTTTATCTTTTACACATACATTTTGACAAGTCGCTTTATTGGTATTTATTTATAAGGGATTAACCCTCAATTTTTTCATGACCAGTGAATGAAACGATTGTTGAAGAAATCACATGCTTATGATGTTTCACCCGGTTAATTCAAGCTACAATGTAAAAAATATCAATTATTTTTAAAGTGGAAAGCCCCATACAAGATTGAGATTTTGGCGCATGTTGTCAATATCGTAGAAAAACTGATATCAGATTCTCTGATTTACACAGAAAACCAGTCGTTTAAGTTTCAGGTAACCAAGACATTTTGAATTTCCCACCCGCACCACAGGCGACGAAGTACTGTATTGTTTCCCCTGTAACTTAGAAAGTACTTCTCGGATTTTGATGGAATTTTACAGCACGCGAAGAAAATAAAAATCGCTCAAACATCGTTTCCGAAGTCGCTACATCCCGAAGTAACGTCGAGCTTTAATGTTTATTACACTGAGAAAACGTGGTCAATTAAACAGTTGTTCTGGATAATTGTCATTGAAATTGAAATTTGTTTAAAAAAGAAGACATACTTAAAACTAGCTTTACAATAAGTGTTCAAATAAATTCCCATTTTGTTGAATACAGAGTCTCGCTCGACCAACTAATGATTGCGTAGCCCAAAAAGTGGAAAACCTTTTCCTTCTTATTTCATTTGCAGCCTGATGGATTCTTCTCGAGTATTTACTTTAGTCGAGTAAACTAGGTCTTGTAATGACCCCCAAAAATAGAAATCCAATGGATTTAGGTCAGGTGAACGTGGAGGCCACGCTATAGGACCTCCTCGGCCTAACCACCTGTCTGGAAAATTGACATTCAACCAATTTCGAACATTGCGTCCAAAATATGCAGGGGCGCCACCATGTTGAAAAAACATATTTTCTTGAAACTGCTGGCGCACATCCAACGGTATTATATCCATCAGCTCATTCAGAAGAAAGTTCAGATACACCTCTGAATTAAGACGATGGGGAAGTACAATAGGCCCAATTACTTGATTCCCAATTACTCCTGCCCATAACTTCAATGAAAATCTATGTTGGAAATTTATACGGCGAACAACTTTTGGATTTTCATCTGACCAGTAATGCATGTTATGGAAATTAAAAGCACCATTCCTAGTAAATATTGACTCATCCGACCATAATTTTCTAGGAATAGTGTTTTCATTTGCTAATATCCACTGGCAAAAGTCGATTCGTGGTAAAAAATCTGCTTCCGTTAAATGCTGCACCCGTTTAAAATGATAAGGATGTAATCCTTGCATTCTTGTCATTCTTCCTATCTAAAATTATTATTTTTTGGATAACTTGGAAATCTTCTTTGATATTCTCTTACGGCTGCCAATGAACTGCCATTGCAAAACCCGTACACAAAATGCATGTCAGTTCTCTGTCTGTAAATCTTGGCATTTAAATATTTAATAAAAATTTTGATCTTAATTTAGTGATTTTACACTGCTAACAATGTCAGGTTAATGTCAAAATAAGTCATAACAAATCAAAACAACTTTTGTTTGAAGTCATGGCTAACTATGTATAATCAACAATTTATTTAAATTCGCAGTACATTTCCTATCATGTGACAAATTCTTTAGATTGATTTTATTCAAAAATGGCACAATTGATCGATATTCAATAAGAGTACTTTTTTATGTAGAAAACCCTAAATTTTTAAATTCTATAATTGAATTTCAAAAATAGAATCACACAAAAATTTTGAGGCTAAAATAACCTGAGTCCGTCCCTGTTACATACGTTTCCAAACAAAACTGTCTAAAATTGATAATATTTTTGAATCCAGCATAAAAAAGTAGGCTAGAATAAAAAAATGTATGTCTTTATCTCGGAAATATTAAGGAAAAACCATCTTCAGGGGAGCCCCTTTAAAAAATCGTAGCGCCCTTAAGGGACGTTTGTCGACCTATGTTTATATAGACTTTTCTTCCTATTTTAAGCTCTAGAAACCGCTGGTAGAATATTGCACACTTTTTTCGGGACACCCTGTATAAAGGGATACAGGTAGTCTTACTCTGAGCCGCTAAGAACGGTGACTACAACTATAATTTAGTTTATGTAGAAAAGGTACATTTGAAACAATTAATCATTTTGATAAAAACAGTTAGACTGTTTATTTAAATCGCGGACTCGGCCCTTCATTCGCGAATGATCGGGAGTATGCGAAAGACTAAGTAAACAAATCTAATAAATATAATTAAGACGTTTTACTTGGAGCAGATAGCCACATTTGAATAGTTCTCTAATTTGAAGTGAACTCGTAAACTTAATCTAAGTAAACGGTTTAATAAATTTAATAAAACGATTGAGTTTTGGCTTAATTAAACTAATTTCTGTTTTAGAAATTGGAGTGTAATCAAGCAGATTAAATTTGTTAGCTGTCACATAGTTAATTAAACCTTTTAAGAAGCTGAATCAAAATTCTACTTGGTTTAATTAATATAATATTCTAATGTATCTTTTCTTGTGGTCTTATATTATCTGTTCCATTATATTGAGCTATATTGAAGTGTTTCAGCTTGAGATAGAATATATATTAAATTTGTTATGTCTAATAACTACTCCTGTTTGCGCCATGACTCCTATGCGCCTGAATGTCTATGAAAATTTTTTGAAGGTAAAACAGTATCTCTATTCTGCGGTTTGCGATATCGCACAGGCAGACCGATGATAATGTGCTTCCGCCAGCATCATAAAAAATTGTCGACTAGTTTTATACGTCCTTTCTATTTATTGCAACCGTGAAAGATTGATTGTGTCGTTTCGAAAAACCTCTGTTTCTAAATTCAACTAGGACTGATGCGAATGTGTACACTATACAGTATTACTGCTGTAACCAAATAAATTGACTGTCAAGTGTCATAGTCCAGGAAATATCTTCACATCCGCTCATAGAAATACTCGTTTTTTTGCATAATCTCATTCAAAAATAGTACCGCTTAACAAATTTACATGCTATTATGCCTAAAATTTATAAAGAAATTATTTAAACAAAAACCGTTTTTTTCGCTTGATACAAAACTGCTTTTATCTGGAGATTTTTTGTGTCATTTTCAGGATTTGGGAAAGTACGAAATATGCCCCTTTCGACCCATAAATACAATATGAAATGATGAAAATTGTATTGTTATTGAAATCTTTATTTTTTAATTGTTAGGTTTGCCCTAAATGGTAGTCAGTTTTAACCAGTGGACCCGGTATTGGTGAAATAGAAAGTTGTAGATTCACTACAATGTCTAACTTATTTTGCTTGACAGAGACATGAGTTGTTACATATATGACATGAGAGGGGAATATCGAGCCTCGCGAAATGCTCAGAACAAAGAACATGATACTTCAGACGTAGAAGCGGCGTTGCTGCATCAACGATTACAAGTCAGTTAACCAGAATTTGAAAAACAAATTTTTGGACATGGTTAACTTCCAAGTAATAGTTGCCCAACCTGATATGCGATGGAAAAACCAGGACTTAGAGGCTAGCGTTTGTAAAATAGTAAGCCCCAAAATGAGTTTCGAAGAATGTTAATGACCTTGACAACGTTACAGTTTTGGTTCTCTCATATCGTTTTTCGTGGTCGCAAATGCACATTTTCAAATATTGAATCGCTTATATGAAAGCTATCAGTTTTATAGAGAAGTTCATAAGATCTTTTTTGCTCAGATTATCTTAAAAAAACGAAAAATCTAATTTCTGAGATTTGGTTAAAGAAAAATGTGTTAAACGCAAAATTTCGGACTGACAACATGCTGATTCGGAAAAAGGGTTTTTTCGAATGAAATTATACAAAAAACTGAATATTTTCAGAGCAGATGCGAAAATACTTCCTGGGCTAACATGTTTCATAAATCAATGCAATGACATCAAGTACTTACTATTTGAAATATAATATGATTAAAATAATTATGATGTCTTCATGGCGTATATGCATTAACATGTGATGGATCATATTAATGTTAGCAAAAAGTTAGACGGTTCTTCAGACGTTCGAACCTTACAAATAGAAATACATTGGATCAGATCTCCCGTTTGCGTGATATCAAGTATAACATACATATACTAAGTGACATATAAATCCGAACACCCAGTTTAAATGGTTTTATTTTAATAAAATTTTGTATAAGTACTTAATGAAGTATAATAAGTAAATGATAAAAATTTCAAAATGATTGCACTGCTTTAAAGCCCTTTGACCTTTAATAATGTGTGGATGCACCCTGATGTGCTACGCATTCTCCAACGCGCCTAGGCATGCTTCTGATCAGGTGGCCAATGTCCTCCTGTGGTATCTCATTCCAGGCAACCACCAACTCCTCTCGAAGTGCTTCTAGAGTCTGAGGAGGACGTTGCAAATTGAGCAATCTCCTACCCATCATATCCCACACGTGCTCAATTGGGGACAAGTCGCGAGATCTTGGTGGCCATGGTAACAATGTCACATCATTATGTTGAAAGAAGTCTATTGTGACTCTTGCAACATGTGGTCGGGCATTATCTTGTTGGAAAGTTGGATCTGCCAGGGTGTCAAGATAGGGTAAAAGATGGGGTTCTAGAACTTCGTGGATATAACGCTGCGCGTTCATGTTACCTCTGATGAAGATTAAAGGTGACCTGGAACCATGAGCTATAGCACCCCAAACCATAACTCCAACAGTGTGATGAACATGTCTCTCAACAAAAAACTGTGGATTCCTCCTTTCACCACGTCGCCTTCTAACCCTGGCACGACCATCGTGCATGCCTAAACAAAATCGAGACTCGTCACTAAAGACAATACTGTTCCATTCCTGATCCCAGAGTGACCGTTGTCTGCACCACTCAAGGCGATTACGTCGGTGTTCTCGAGTTAAAGGGAGGACCCAGTGTGGCCGGTATGAAAACAAGCCAAAACTTCTCATTCGTCGGTAAACACTTGGCATGCCAATACATCTTCCGTGTTCCGCAAACCATTCATTTGCAATGGACCTGGTAGTGGAGAAACGGTCCCTTAAGGCCAATAATCTTAGGCGGCGATCTTCACGGTCTGTTGTTCTACGGCGGCGTCCAGTGCCCCTTGCTCTTTGCGTACGGCCTTCTCGAAGCCATGCCTGACAACACCTAACCACAGTGTCTACACTTCTTTGCACTCTAACTGCAATTGCCCGAAAGGAAAGTCCACCTTCCCGAAGTCCCACTATACGGCCCCTATAAAACTCACTAAGTTGACGAAATCGTACAGGTCTCCGTACTCTAGGCATCGTAACCG